TACATTGTGGGGCCCATGTTTAAGGAAAATGCAGCCTTGTGGGGACCGGGTGCTCCTTGTGGGGCCCAAAGCCTGGGACCCACAACTTTGGAGGCTGATTTTGGGTGTGAGGGTTGGGTTTAGGACCAAGGTGTGAATTGAGTTTAGGTTAGTTTTAGGGTCAGGAAGGTACCTGTGAGGTTAGGGTTAGTGGTCAGGGTTAGGATATAAAATTACCAAAAAATGAGTGGAAGTCAATGGACGGGCCCCACAAGGATATAAAAACAAGTGTGTGCGTGTGCGTGTGTGTGTGTGTGCAGCTGTTTGACATTCATGTGGGAGCAGCTGCAGAAATGACTGCCACAGGCTGATGGAGGTGCAGGAGAAAACCCAGCTGTGATATGATAACAACATTTCTGTGAATTCTTTAAGAAACAATAAAAAAAGCTGATCTTTTCCAGGTCTGATTAAAATATTTACACCAGACTCTCATTTCTTAAAATGAACATCTGTTCGTACTGGTTATTTAKAAAATATGGACCATATTGTTATTTAAAGCTTGGCCAGTGTTAAATAGAGATGAATGAAAAAAAGGATAAACAGATGTTAGCAAAGTTCAAACTTTTACAGTTTAAAAAAACTGTTTTAAGGGAAGAATTCATTTTTCCTTTTTTTTTTCCTTTTTTTTTGCAAATTAGCAGTCAGAATGTGGCAGAAATAAACAGACTTTAAAAGGTGATTAAAACAGCAGCTGAAAAAGTAGTAGTTAGAAGACAAGGATGGCCCAAATGTCAGCTAAGAAATTCAGAAATTTGAGTCTGGAGTTCAGATTTAGAATATTTCTCAGTATAAAACAAAAACAAACAACGAATCAATCCAGTCACTAATTTCTATAACGTGTTCATTTCAATATAACTCCAGGAGACGAGTGTAAACACTGAGAGGAACAGAGCTAAAAAGCCAGCTCTGCRTTTTTCTCATTAATGCAGAGTGAAGCAGGGAGGCTGATAAAAACCACTTCCAGAACCTGAGGACAGAGCGTGTCCAGAGGCAGAGCAGATGGGACTGCTCACATGTGCACACGGGGGGGCTTCTGGACCTGGTCCGTCTACGAGCGTTTGAGCTGAAGCTCARGTTCACAGCTGAACTATCCAAACGAGTGGGAGCCATGGAAACATTCCTTCAGAGTGGTGTGTGTTTTCACCCACCGGGGGTTAAAGGGCCAAAGCTGAGAGGGGAGGTAACGTGACAACCGAGGTGCACAGAAGTGATGCAGAACCTCTTCAAGATGCGTTCTGAAGCTGTTACAGTCACATTAGTTTCTACACACGTGGAAAAGAAACRATGCATAGCGGCACATGTGGAAACCTGCCTCACACATGCCAGGAGGAGCGGCACACCAACAGCAAGCACAAACTGTTTTACACACACAGTCACAACACAACGCTCAGACACAACCTGTCAGAACCAGAGTTATAGAAGATAAAGTTTTACAGAACTATGGTCAGAAGAGAAGTGACAGGAGAACAATCAAAGACAGGATGTTGTGTCAGATTAGAGGCTTACAAACAGCGTCAGTGTGGTCACAGTTCTTACCGTACAGCTGCTGCACGGCGAGGATGTCGTCCCAGCTGGGAACCAGGCTGCGGCCCAGTTTCCTGTAGTACGGCGACATCAGAGCGTGGCGCACCGGTGAGTGCTCCAGCCCCAGCGTGTGTCCGATCTCGTGGGCCGTCACCATGAACAGGTTGTGGCCTTTGTGTCCGTTCAGCGTCCACCGCTCGGCCATGTCGAAGTGGGCTTCTCCCCGGCGGGGCAGGAAGGCGTGGGCCAGGGTTCCTCCTGCACATCAGACGTATTTATGACCCCCCTTCCTTCTTCAGTGTTTTAGTTTGATACTTGCTTGTTTAAATACCTGAGCAGAGCAATAAGAATTGCAAAAGTTAAACACGGGCACGATTGGATGGAAGAGTGTCGAGCCTGACCTGGTCCATCGAAAGCATTACTGGCCCCGTCGTTGTGGTCCCCCTCGTAAAAAGCCAGGCGTATGTCTGCGGGGCCTTCGGGGGCCTCCTGAAACACCAGGTTGGACACGTTGCTCCACAGCTGGAAGGCAGCGCTCACCGCCAGCCGCACGGAGCCCAGAGACAGGCGGCGAGGCCAGTTTACCATCTGGTAGGTCAGACGGTGCTTGTGCCACTTCTCAGCTGCAGAGCAGAGAAACATGAAGCTCAGATCTGACGTGTTCACAGATTCCTGTCAGCAAAGATTACAAATATAAACTACAAAATGACATAGAACACCACAATTACACAACTCCAGAACTCAAAACAAACTGCATAATACTTTCCTGAATGCTTGTCACCCAGCACCTTGTTTTCAACMAAGATCTCACACAATCTGTTCGTGCTTCATGAGTTGGAGCTCTCAGCTACTACCACACCTTTAGCTTAATTTCTGTGAAACTCATTGACCTAAAGCCATTTTTGTGTTTGCTAAGACTAATTAACTGTAGCMGATATTTTGAATTAAGACAACTCCAACAGTTAAAGCTAGCAGAACACGATGCTTTGTTAAAATCTAAAGGTAGTAGCTTAAAAAGACCAAATTAGAGCAACACTGAAGCAGATTTCAGGATGTTTTTGAAGAAATTAAAATACCTTAATGCATTACTGAGAGAAAATATTTGTAAATAATGCTAAATATTTATAAAAGTATAAAAGTTGCAAAACCCAGGAGTAGCACACACCTTCTGAACGAGCTGAACATTTTGATRTAYAAACAGCTAAAATAGCACAAAGTGTGCGGAGAACAAACAGCTAAATCCTCCAATAAAACAAAAGCAAAGTGAGCTCAGGGATCAATGATGACAAACTGCCTTGTGTCAGACGCTGCAATCAGTTTGAAGAGCTGTAATATAATCTATTTCAGTGTTTCCCAAAGTTGGGGTCGGGACCCAAAGTGGGGTCCCGAAACAGCAAGGTGGGGTCCTGAAAAGATTTTCTGAATTAATTACATTTTTGTCTTAGTTGTCACAAAGGAGTGAGGTTAGTGTGTTTAAAATGGATAAATGTAGTACAACAAAAATATTGTTACTATGCCCATGTTTAGTTGACCTGATACAAATGTTTATCATCCAAAAATAGCTGGGGGCACAGGTCTCTGCTRCTGTTATTTTGTGGGTCARAAGMTRAAAAGTTTGGAAACCACTGRTMTATTTACTGCCATCATGTTTGAACACTTTATGGGYTCCTATGCCTGTGACCTGCCACCTCTCACGTCCCGTCTCATCCATTCACACGTCAGAAATCCCACCTCCATCCTTTGAAGCAGAGCCACTGAAGCTAACCTGGCCAGATGACACGATGTTAAGCATGTCGGCTCGCAGCTGTGTAAACCGACAAACACTTCAYTTCAACACGTGTCTGTGGTTTCTTTACCGACATGTTATTACAMTCTTCACAAGCCTCCTCCATTTGTTCTGGGACAGAAAAAGAGGGGTTAACTGCACTCCTTCTGTCATTTGCGCCGCTCTAATCTGTCCGTATACACATGATTAAATAAAACCGTAAAGTAGAATCAAAGCACACGTATAATACCAAACACACAAACATGGTCGTCCACACAGGAAGCAGTCATTAGAAGATATGAGGCTTTCAGCTGCTGGCTCCCACTGTCTGAAAGAGTCCGACTGGAACCAGTTTTAAACAAGGTGAAAACATTTGGAGAGTGAGGCGTGTCTTGAAATAATTACTTAAAAAACAAAACAAAACTGGAACAACATGTAAAAATTTAAGGAGGAGGTTGAAGRGGAGCCTAAACTGGACTCTTGTGAAGTTCATTTATTTGAGTTGGCACCGCAGTGAGACTCATCAATCATGACAGAAAAGAAGCGTTGTGTTAACCTCATCCAGCAGCAGCCCTGGGTTCTGAGGCATCTGGACCTAACCTCCACGCAACACTGCGGTCACCCACATCCTTAAAGAGAATAAAATAAAGAAACACTAAGTTCTCCAAACCAAAGAAGAAAATCATAAATCAATTAGTCCAAAAGCCAGAGTCTGAGAGGGTTCTGGTTTGCTCTTAGCAAAACTCATTAACTATGTAAATYAGCACTGTTTCTGTTTGAAACTGTGTTTTCTATTAAAAGTTAAGCAAAMCAAACAGGAAAAGATGCTTCTACAGTCCAGCCTCTTGCTCTTTTATGTACCAAAACATTATAAAAACAATTGTCCTGCTGCACCACGACTCAGCTGTTGGCTAAAATGACCTAAAACCTGATGTGGGTAACACACCAATTCATACGGGTTTGCAGAAATAGTACATCATTCTTGTTATGGCAGTATTTATTTAACAAAGACAGAAATACGTGGTCCATGAATGAAGGTACTCCGTGAGATGATCAGCTGAGTTTTATTGCAACAACAGGAACACAGAGAACAACCTGGCCTGTCTCTGTGCCTCTGCCGCTCCACACTACTGTTGAACACTGTCTCTCCACACTACTGTTGAACTGTTGAACACTGTGTCTCGAGAGGCCTCATATATATATTAACAAACACCATTATGTCATCTTAGCAAGATTTGATACAAGGTCAATGGAAAACACAAAGATRAACACAAGTGATATCTAAGAATGACTGTTGTTAGCAAATCTTGTTCTGACTTTAATCATTCTGTCTGCAGATGAACAGCATGTCATGAAAACCTAGGTCATTAAAGGATGTCATGAAGTACTTGCTCAAACATAAAGTATTAGTTCTATTACACATATACATGTACAATAAATATGGTTGTGAATATTTCTGGTAATACTTCATTATAATATGTCCTTTCTTTCCAAGCTTCCTTTTCATGATGCTTCATTTCCTTTCATCTTCCTTTTTGTTGAAATCTATTTTCTTGCAAATGTGATAAATAAAGSTTCACCACTTTGGCCTCACAGCTACAATATCCTTCCTGTTGTGGAGTGGGTATGGGTAAACATCTCTACTTTGGTGTCATCTGTCCAAAGGACCTATTTCCAGAAGTCATTTAGATGCAGCTTTAAAGAGCTTTATTTTATTTTATTTTTTTTTTAGGTGAATGGGATTTTCTTCTCTTTTTCTAACTGAACTTTAACTTTCAACCTGCTGAGTGAGGTCTGTGGAGTCTGAGCTGGAGCTCTGAGGTTGTTTGTATGGTCTGACCATGGGGTGAATTTGCTGTAACGTCCACAGGACGTCATAAAGCTGGGGTCATAAAGTTTTTTTTTTTTTTT